GACTTGGCTTCCCTTGCAGAACCCCAGAGATGAAAACCATGTAAACAAAGATGCCCTTGTCCAGGCCCCTAGCCTCACCCACCCTTTGTTGTTCTCTTCTGCATCCAGCCGTGCCTGGGGGGAGATGGAGATGCATTCCTTTATTCTGCTTCCCCAATTCCTCTCCTACTGGGTGGAGGCAACAGCTACCCCTTTCCTCTGCCAGTTCTTCCTAATCCTGAGGGATTCACCAAAGCTTGAGGCCTTCTCGGTGTGGGCTTCTCTGTGAGGGGAGCCTTAGCTGTCAGCCACCCTTGGAGACACGTGGGTGCAGAGGGAAGGGTGTCTTCCTGCCCTCCCCTTCCCAGTCCATTAATCCCTCCCCCTCCATCAATGTCCACACAGAATCACACAGAACTGGGAAACTCAGGCTAGAATGAGAACCCCAACCAGAACCACCTAAACTGTGGGCTGCACATGAGCCAAGAACTCTTTGTTCCTGGTCCCTAACAAGAGCAAGTTCAGATTAAGGGTGTTTTGAAATGTTAACTGGGTAGAGTTCTATTATGATGACTATTGAATCTAATAATTTAATAAGGGGGTTGAATGAGCCACTGAGCCACCGAAAGATATGGAGGAAACAAATGCACATAGACGAAGTGCAAGAAGCCAATCGGAAGACGCTCTCTGCTGCAACTATACGACATTTTGGAAAAGGCAAAACTATGGAGGCAGTAAAAGGACGAGTGGTTGCCAGGGGTTGCAGGGAGGGAGGGATGAATTGGGGGAGCACTGAGGATGTTTAGGGCAGATGTTTTAATGGTAGATACATGTCATTATTCATTTATTAAAACCCACAGAATATACAACACCGAGAGTGAACCCTTGTGTAAACTATGGATTTGGGGTGATAATGATGCATCAATGTAGGCTGGATTATGACGCATGTACCACTCTGGTGAGGGATGTTGACTGTGGAGGAGACTGTGCTTGTGTGGGTGCAGGAGGTCTATGAGAACACTCAGTTTGGCTGTGAACCTAAAACTGCTCTTAAAAATAAAGTTTATTTAATACAAGGTTGGGGTGGGTTGTATTTTGTCTTTTTTAATATTATGGTTATTTCTTTTTCCTGGCAAATCAGTGCTATGGACTGAATGTTTATGTCCCCTCAAAATCCATATGTTGAAGCCCTAATCCCCAGTGTGATGGTTTTTGAATGTGGGACCTTTGGCAAATGATTGGGTTTAGAGGCGGTCATGACGGTGAAGCTCCCATGATGGGATTAGTGCCCTTTAAGAAGATGAAGAGACCAGAGCCCTCTCTCTCTACCACGTGAGGACACAGCAAGAAGGTGGCTGTCTGCAAGCCAGGAAGGTGGCTGTTCTCACCAGATGCTGAATCTTCCAGCACTTTGATCTTGGACTTCCCAGCTTCCAGTACTGTGAGAAATAAATAATTCTGTTGTTTAAGGCACCCAGTCTACAGCATGCTGTTATAGCAGCTTGAGCTAAGATAGCTTTTGGTCAGTTTGTTATAGTTTACAAAAGTTTTTGGTCTGTGACAGATTGGAGGGGAAAAAACTGATACTTCATCACAAATAGTGAGAAGCTCTGACCTGCACCAACAGCCCTAGTCCAGGAGCCGGAAGCACTGGTCTCCTGCTGCTGCTCTGTATTTAGCTCTCTGCCTCAGTTTCCCCATCTGCAAACTGAAGGGGTAGAGTGACCAGACCTAGCAAACGTGGCTGTTCAGCAAATGCTGGTTCTTTCGGTAAGTATGGGCAACCTCAGGCAGTTAGGGGCCATGGACACCTTCCCTACCCCTCACCGTTTGTTGGAACATTCCAGAGAAAGCAAGTCTTGGGGAAATTCTGCCAGCCAGACACAAAAGCTCACTGGCAAGTATGCACGGAATAGGTTGTAAGCTTGGGCAAGACTTGCTCTGTCTGAGGACACCGGGACACACAACTTGCGTGGAAAGGTTGAGGCGGAGGCAACAGCATTCTGGAGGAGCAGCCTGTGTCCTGCTCCATGCCATGACAGTCTCCTGAAGTGGGGACCAACTTCTCACTCCGCACCGGTGCAGAGGTAACAATGACTGTCCAGTGCTTCTAGCTAGCAAGATCTTGAACATCACTTACTTCCCCAGTGAAAACGTATTCCAAACACCTCTCATGCCAATTAGTCAACCTTCTGGTGTAATTTTTTTTACTTTTTTTGTGGTACGCAGGCCTCTCACTGCCGCGGCCTCTCCGATTGCGGAGCACAGGCTCCGGACGCGCAGGCTCAGCAGCCATGGCTCACGGGCCCAGCCGCTCCGCGGCATGTGGGATCCTCCTGGACCAGGGCACGAACCCACGTCCCCTGCGTCGGCAGGTGGACTCTCAACCACTGCGCCACCAGGGAAGCCCTTCTGGTGTAATTTTGATAAGTACCTTTGAGATGTTTTGTTACCACGTCTGGACTGGATTCTTAAGGTGCTCTAAGTGCAAAAGAGCTGCCCTCCGTGGTACATTCAGTTATACATACAAATAAACAGCACATTATTAATGCCTACGTATTTTACAGTATATTACGGGGAACTATACTCACTATTTTATAATAACCTAAAAGGGAAAAGAATCTAAAAAAGAATAAATAAATAAATAAATAAAGGGGACTTCCCTGGCGGTCCAGTGGTTAAGACTTCACCTTCCAGTGCAGGAGGTGTGGGTTCAATCCCTGGTCAGGGAGCTAAGATCACACATGCCTCACGGCCAAAAAACCGAAACATAAAACAGAAGCAATATTGTAACAGATTCAACGAAGACTTTAAAAATGGTCCACAACAGAAAAAAAATCTTTAAAAAAAAATCTATAACAATCGTTTTTCTATATACCTGAAATTAACACACATTGTAAATCAACTATACTTCAATAAAAAAGTAAAATTAAAATTTTTTTTAAATTAAAAATAAATAAGAATAAAATAAATAATTTTTTAAAGTATATTACACCCAGCAAACTAATAGGGAGATGAACTGCATGGCCTCTAAGTTCCCTTCCAGGGCAAATATATATTGTAATATATAATATATATTTTTTACTTTAATATTCCTTGAAGACAAAAATCAGTTTTCTGAGTTCACCAATACCTTCAGACCATGGAAATACATGGGACTGTCCCCAGGCTGAGGGACAATTCTTCAAAGCTGAGATAGGTCTTCACTTCCTGCT